TTATTTTACCTACCTCTAAGATGCTCACCATCGAGGAGTTGGGAGTATAGAATGCATTTCAGGTACCAGTTGTCAGGCATCCTTATGACATGCCCTGTCCAATGGAGCTGGTGCTGAATAAATATGGCTTCAGTGCTGGAGGTGTTTACTTGATCCAGAATTTTGATATTCATTCTTCTGTCCTTTCAGTTGATAGAGAATTTTCCAAAGATGATGTTGAAAGTAGCTTTCCAAAACTTTCGGATGTTTCTGGTACATCATCCAGGTTTTGTATCTATACAACAGGATAGGAATGAGAACAGCCGGGTAGACCAGAACTTTGGTTTGGGTCCTGATGTCATGGTCATTAAAAGACACAATTTTGGAACAATTCAAAGGCAGCATTAGCATATTTTATCTAATGCTGAATATTGTAATCTTTGTTTGCTTTTTAGGAAAGGTGGCTACCCAGGTAGGAGAAATGTTCAACGTTCTCCAATGACTGTCTTCTAAGTGCAGCATGTAGAAGAGCAGATGGCTGGCTTTGGATGGGTTGGTAAAATATCTTAGTTTTTATGAAGTTGACAGAGTTCAAGCATGTATTACGCTTCAGAGAAGTAATCAGTGGTGACCTAGAGCCTTTCAGTTGAATGGGTGCAAGCATTAGTGTACTAAAGATCAATAATGGAGGTGTTAATTATCTTAGATTTGGAACATAACTGGTTGATGTTAAAGAGCTTTCTGTCCATGAGATATTTATGCTGACTCCAGATAGAAGTCTGTCAGCAGTGAGATGCAGAACAGCTAAGATATAGATGGAAAAAAGAGCATTGGTACAATCACACATCCTTGTTTGACTCCAGTTCTAATAATGAAGAGGCCCATTTCCAAGCCATTGCTTTGGATGGTTACAGTCATGGCTTAATGAAGGAGTCTGCTGGTAAAAAAAAAAAAGAGGTATCTAAATCTCATCAGGAGGTAAGTGAAGGCTACATTAAGATCTTGGTGTTGCTCATAGTATTTTCTTGCAGCTGTCTAGCAACAGAAGTCAGATCTACTGTACCTCTAAGTTGTCTACACTGGGACTCGCATAGAATCTCTTTAGTGGGGAAGGCGAGTCTGTTGAGGAAAATATAGGCAATATAATTTGCAGATATGGACAGGAATGCAATTCCATGATATTGTGAGGTATTTCATGGAAGCACACACAGAATAGAGGACACTGTCTGGAACCAAATATGGCTGTTGTCATTTGGATTACTTTATGATATAGCCTGAAGCTTACCTAAAAAGAAAGAAAGAAGCTATGACACTGGAAGAGGTTTAGTGAACAAATTAACTAGATTCAGTAGCATAACTTGGGCTTTAGCCCTGGTCTCCTCCCATTTCTCTCCCCCAGGCACCACCTTTGTTGGGGAGGACTTAAAAATATCTGTTATCACAGTGGTGGCTGAATGCACTGCTGCTATCGGTACTGTGGCAGCCAATGTTGCCCCATGTATTACTACCGTCTTGGGCATGGAGCTGCCCTGCTATGCCTCCGACTAGATATGGGGGTTGGTTTTTGGTGAATTACACAGATCTAAAGAGGATCTTTGAATCCAAAGTTTTTCAGTAGGTTTTTGGTAATATTTGGATCCACAAGACCTGCAACCACTCTAGTGTATCCACAATATAATGGGATGGTGGAAATAAGGAATAGGATTTTGAGGGCATTAAGTGGGCTACCTTTGCTGAACAACACCCAAGGGCCTGGATACAGCACACTGTCTTTTAATGGCTTGTAGAACTGAAGTCTTTGATATCACTATGAAGGGATTGAAAGGGAACTTGATCTCTGTGTAAGAGGTGTCTTGGAATCCCATGCTTCACAGCTTCTGCTGGTTATGTGAAGGAGCCAAGAATAAATTCTCTCTCTCACCATGCAAGCATTATTGGTTCTGCATTACTTACATTTTACCTCCTCCTGAAGAAGTGGACATTGGCCATTTGACATGAGCTACAGCTACCAGACAGGTACTTGAGAGGTTTTCAGGTTCCATTAGGAACACTCAAGTAGCTCAGACTCCTACCTGTAACCAATGTGCTCAGGGTCAAACAGATCACTGAATCTACTATCAGAAAGGAATCTCTCTCCAGGCTTTGGGAGCTCCTTACAACAATACATTTCAATTGATGTTCAGGTCATTTTCACTGCTGCTGTAACCAGAGAAGCTGCCATGAACTTCAATTTCAGTTTTCTTCTGCAGGGTTTGAGAAGCTTCTAGTTTATAAGAAATTAGAAAAAAAATTAGGTCTGATTCAGACAGAAACCAAATTTAAAAA